TCGGAATAGCCCATTCTGATTCCGATTCCAGACCCCTATTCCTGCAAACCAAATGAACCTTAATGTTCTATCGCACTATTACTCCCATGTGTTGGTTGCTCACGTAAACTCACTATAGGTCACTTCATCACAAGTGGTGTGATGCCCAAGTTCATGTATTTACAGATAGAAATCAATATATTTAGCCCATATGTCAAAATCAACCTGCTACAACTTCAATTATTAAAGGAAAAAGAAAAGGCAAAATCTATTAATATGGTAATAGACAGATATACCGGAGAATTTATCTGCTTGACGAATGATCGTGGACTTGTTGATGTTGGTTTTCATGGACCTGCTTACAATTGGACAAACAAACCTTCAGCCCATCTGCTAGTTAGAGAGCGTGTAGATAGATTGTTAGTACACCACTCTTGGTTCTCTATGTATATGTTTCGCATCAATGCTGCAGATGCAGCACTGTTTTCTGGGTTGGAAAAGAGTGCTGTTGATATGTTGGTTGGAAGCAGAAAATAGTGCCTTTATTTTGTTTGGAATCGTTGCTGTCAGGTAAGACGTTTCTTATAGAAACAGTAACTTTTTCTGTTTAGTACCAATACTCTAGGAAACGTTTTTTGCACTTTTTACCCATTATCCACTGTCACATCACTGCCCTGTTGGCAGCAAAGAGCTGCAGCTTCAAGAAATGCCAAATTTGGTGTTGCTCCAAGCCATACCTTCCCAATTTTTAATGTGTGGCTTAGAGCACCGTTTTCTATGGAAAAACGGTTCCAAACAAATAGTTATTTCCTAGAGCACCGTTTTTTCCTACATAATGCTAATGTAGCACCGTTTTCTAGAACATCACCAACGATGCCAAACAGATGCTATATTTGCCAAAACGATGGTTAAACATCTACTAGCCTTGGATAACGATCACAATAAATTCACACAATCCCATCCTGTGCAACCTATTAGGTTTTCAACGTCGCTTTAAGTCCATTTGAATAGTTGAAGCTGTTTGGATAGCCAGTGAATATTTTTTAGAAACTTTTCTTCTACTTGGCTCTTTTCAAGAGAAGTGTGTGAAAGTGGCAAGAACTCTCTAGAAGCACCATCATTTAAAGCTTCAATTCCCACAAAAAAAATCAAAGAAATAAAGCAATGAATTGAATTGAAGGTATCCAATGTGGTGATATGACAACCTTTTTTTTATCATTGAAGAAATCTCTCTAAAAGTTGAACCGTAAAGTAGTATGATATCAAAGAACTCTATCGGTGCCAAAGTTTAAAATGTTATTGAATGAGGAATGGTGATAGAAATCAATATTTTTAAAATTGACCCGAAAATGGAATCGTTCTGGCCACTGGTTTTCGGATCAGCATTTCAATCGATCAGGTCAAATGGTTCAGATGATTTGAGTGTTTTAACAGTGATATGTCATCTTACCCATTGGATTGGAATATTAGGGTAAGATGCATATAAATATAAAGAGAAAATAAAGATGGAATGAGAGGCATTTGAGAAGTTTCGACTGGAAGAGTTTAGAAGAAGGAGGAGGAGGAGGAGGAGGAGGAGGAGGAGGAAGAGGAGGAAGAAGAAGAGGAGGGCTTGAAGGCTGCAATGACGACAGTAATGGCGGCAACAGCAGCGGCGATGCTGAAAAATTGGAGTAGATCTGAGATTTTTCAGTCAGATCTCATTCTCTCTCTCGCAGATCTGTCATCTAGAGTCTAAAGTCTAAACTTCTCTCCCATATCTCTAAATGTGAGATCTCTCTCACTCTCTCACACATATATCTCAGAGTCTTAGTAGATCTCAGATTTGAGCTTCCCTTTTGACAAGTTAATAAACCACAAATCGTTCTCTGGGTCGAATGGTTCAATAGTCAAATCGTTTGGGTCAACGGTTCGTTGACTAATTCAATGGTTTTTTACCAAAGACCGGGTTTGGGGTAAAACGGAACCGGTCGCCTGAACGGTTTTCAATCCGAACAGTCCGACTGTCTGGGTCAACAACAGTTCATAAACATTGATAGAAATACTTATTTTTTCCATACCACTACAACTAAGGTTATGTTTGCTTTGAAGGAAAATGCATAGAAAGGAAGGGAAAGGTAGGAAAACCTTTACAAACTTTGTATAGGTTTCTCTATCTTTCTCTTTCTTTCCCTACCTTTTTCCTTCAAACCAAACATAGCCTAAAAGAAGGAAAAATGCAATTTATTGGCTCAAGGACAAAGAAGGGAATTAGACTTATGACCCCAAGGAGACTGAATGCAGCATCTGTTCTTATTTCAAGGAACTTGTTCTATGTTTGTCATCCTTATTTTATTAATATGCATGAGCACATGTAGGCCCCTTGCCAAAGCAACGAAGAAAATACAGCACTTCATTCCCCTCCATCTCACATTGAAATAAAGAAGGCTTTGTTCTGCATAGCGCCCTTAAATGCCCTAGGATCAGATCGATCGCTTACATGCCATGTTTTTTTCAGAAAGATGGGATATCATTGGTTCTTTTTTTTAACCCCAAAATTTACTCCCAATGCAGGGTGGCCACCGAAAACTTTATTAAGTAAGAATAAGCAAATCTAAGAGAGGGGGACATAAAAGCCTTACTCAAGAAAAAAAAAAACTAATTACAGCAAGATCCAACCTAACTATACTGTACTTACAATAGAAAGAACAAAACAGGATTGGATCTTGCACAAAATAAAAAACGTAAAAAAGATATACCTGACCCATCATCTCTAGACTCTAGCTAACAAGTCTCTGTACCTCCGCTGGAAGCTCCTCAAAACAGTTATATATACCATGTGATAGAGATAGATTCATTGGTTCTCACCTTTGCCACTTTATCAAAACTCTCTTCACCAATTCAGAGCTCATTTCTTCTACTAATGGCACATCTATTGTTTTGAATCTTTTGATTCCAAAGAAGGATGAGATTCAGCTGCCTAGTGAATTTAGACCAATTGGCCTGGCCAACATCACATATAAAATTGTCTCAAAAGTGATAGCTTGCAGACTTTGTCCTATACTTGAAAGAATTATCTCTCTATACCGAAACACATTCACACCTAAACAACAAATATTGTATAACATCATAATTGCTTGCAAGAGAATATTATGAGTATATTAGGTGTTGGCAAGATGGAGACCAATGATGCTTATTTAGGAAGCCTGCTCCTCAGCACCTCACAGCGCTCCACAGCACATCTCAACCATGTATTGAAAACATTTCCCGATGTGGGGTGCCCCTTGTGGGGCACTGATATGAATTCAATATCTTATCCCACGTATCAAAATGTTTTTGTTAAGATGCTATATGGGAGCTCTACATGTATGTGCTTGCATGGCAAAATGCTCTCCCTACATTGAGCACATGTGTAAGCTTTGCCATAAAGAAAATGAAACTATGGACCATATTTTCTTTCATTGTCCAGTAGTGTAATCAATATGGTTTGGTTCTCAACAGTTTCTTAGTCAGACCTCTACAGTTTCTTTCTTCTTAGGGTTAAATACTTAAACAACCTTTCTTATGGTTTAGTAAATGGGCACAAACCTATCTTACTGTTTAAGAAATTACTTAAAGTAATTTGGACATTTTTGACAATGGACAAAA